TACAAATTTGGCCTACAATATCCTTCCTTATAACGTAGTGACTCTCTGGAGTTTGAGGAAGCTGTCGAAGAGGGATTTCTATTTGTGGAATAAATTATGTATAATGGAGGATTTAATAATTAAATAATAAATAGCGAATTATTAATATTTATAACTTTAGAGAACGTACCGATTGGCAAAGATGATGTGTGAAATGACGCCATCATACCGAACAACTTGGACATTATGGCGTCAAAAGGACGCAAAATAGGATTTTCTAGCAATTATATATAAAGAGAGCGAGGTTATGTACATAATGATTAAAAATAAAACCGTAAGATACATTTTTGCATCTGCATTAATCTTAAATATAGAATACACAAAGTGAAATTCCATAGTAAAGTGATGGGCTAATTTGTAAAACAGAGAACGAGTTCTGCGAATTTCAGAACTCTACGTTATTGCAGTATACTATCGTTATTACCTTTCCTTTGGTTGATGTTGGTAATTCGCTGCCTGATTTGGATTTCTTGAGTGTTCTAAGTTAATATGAAAATAAGTCATGAATGTTAAATATAAAGTAAGCAACATTTTTGGAATGCTTTAGCGAAAGCTTATTATAACGCTTTTGTAAATTTATATTGGCTGTCGATTGCTTGGCTTTGGCTAGCTATACTTTCTGAACTGGTGACAGTTTAATGATATTTTATAACTAGGATTATTGATCTTTCATTTAATGCGAATAAGGAGAACATTCTGTAATATTTTCATCGCCAACAATTAATGACGGTGAAAAAATATATTACAAACTTTATTTTATAATACCATAAACATCAAGAATTATACATTAATCAACAATATTTGTTAAAAACAAGTTTTGTTACCGCGTTCGTTCCTCGAGGCATTAGCTTCTATCTCTAATTTTCTACCAAGATTTTGAATATTTGTAACTTGACTATCCTTTAGTATGCAGCAAAACTGAAAATAGTTGTCATTGCTTCTTGATTTTAGTATTTTAATAAAATGAAAGATTCTTTCTTTATTACTCTGGCAACCATCTTTAAGTTTTTCAACTTCGTCATCAGATATTAACCCTATACTTCGTAAATCGAATACAATATCCACTAAAGGGACATCACTCAAGATCTGCGGATATTCCTTATCGATGATATCGGTGATGTATTTGCTCAAAACCATTGTATGAAATACTTTTATCAACTCTGCTTGGAAAATTATTTGAGAAGAAATGTGACATTGGATCAATATTACTTTAAAACAAAGTACAGTGCTGCAAAAGAACA